AACGTTATAGCTGTGTTTTGACATATTTCTTGATGTTATCTTATTTTGAGCCTCTTATATCGTCTCTATGTTGCCGTTAAATACTTTCAACCATAACAAAAGAGGTAGTTTTCACATCATTACATGTGTGATTGTGTCACAACAACTTTAATAGCATTAATAGTTCAGCTAGATAGAAGAAATAATCGGACGTTTCTGCACAGATAAAATTATTTATAATTTCAGCAATTTTGATGTATAATAATTAATAAGTGGTCTTAAAAACAGGCAAATATTTTCCAAGGGCAAACCTCAATTTCAAATTTAATCTTAACATATGAATACATGTTGGTAACATCATTACAGCGTTTCAATAATCATATTATTATATAATAATAATATTTAAATTATATGACGTCATACAATAAACATAAGGAATGGAGAACTTGTAGATATAATATGTCTCAAAAAGAAGCGAAAAATGGCAAGAAATCCACGAACGTATAGCGCAAGTGAAAAAAAAACGATTTGTTCCACCTTCTGTGTAAGATTTACTTTACTGGTTAGTAGGTTTGTAATTACAAAAGTTGCTCGTAGACACATTATGCAAATGTGAATAAATATTTAAATCTAACTTGATAATATGTTTTACCATGAAACATGAATTATGCATTATTACGCAACATAATATATCTTTCTGAAAACTAAAACTGACATGATTCAGCACAACATTATTGTTGTATATACATGTTATGTGGTACTTTTAGTTTCTTCTTTTTGGCCATTTTCAACTTGGGTGGTTCCAGTATTCCTACTTGAATACTGTATAATCACCCTTAGGATATGTTGCCTGCTTTTTAAATTTGTCTTTTGACGTCTTATCTGTGATATGCAGGCTTCATAACCTCAGATCCCCTTTCAAAATTCTATTTTATTTAGTTCCGCCCATTGTTTTCTCGTTTAGGGCAAAAGCATTCTTTTACTTTGGGACCATATGCCGCTTTTCATGGAATGGCACTACTGTGTCACATTGAAGGTTCCATGACGACCCCGTATGAACACATCTGCAGCGGATGTCTCTAAATTCAAAATTTCACCATTTCGTGTTAAATGTTGAATTCTGCTTAAGCCGGTGCTAGGGGGCGTGGATGGTAACTTGCACTTTCCAGAACCGTCCATGAACAGACTCAATCAAACCGAGCCTGCAACATTTTCAATTTTGTTGTGTTGGGCTTTCTTTATGGATTCTGCTTTACTCTATTTTGTTAATATTAAACGCTTATTCAAAATAAGTACAAATTAAAAATGTTCAGACCGAGGTTTTACTTGCAATTTGGTATTGGTATGAATCTGTTGTAATATACATATTATTTAAAAGGAAAACAAAACAAGTACTGCATTTGTTAAGTCTTCAAATAAAGTTATTTTAAAACTTTAAACGTATTGAAAACAATACATTGGTGTTTGAGAACGACTGGTGTTTCGACTTCACGCGTATTGTGTTTTACGAACATGTTACCGTTACCGCCGTGGGTTCAAACAACACCAGGGTCTTTGGATGTTTTCGTTCAAAGAAGCTATTGCTTTAGGGACGTCGGTGGTTCTGCTCAGGTACCCGTTCGTGCCCGAAATAACGCACGGAGAGGCACCTTTGGTCTTCTTGCACCAGTAAAGCTGGAAAGTCGCTATATAAACTATATTGTGTTAATGCAACGTTTGACTAAATAAAAGTGTTTGTATCATAGTTTGGGGACCCTTCTGTTGAAAATGTGTCCAAGTTAAATCGTAAACGTATACATGCACAGTGCGTTAACTGGAGTGCAGGTATCAGTTACCCGCACTCTAGAACATGCCCATTGACTGATTCATTTTTCATTTTACATATTGTGACGGCAGAGAAAGGGAAAGCGACAGAAATATCATATTCAGATGCTCGTTTATTGATTATTTTTTTCCGGGGTTTCATTTTGCGACAACAGGGAACGTGTTTTTATGTTTGACTATGATACAAAAGAGAAAGAATATCAAAACACTCGGCAATCTGATTAATACTCGGGGGCTACGCCCCCTCGTACAAATCAGATAGCCTCGTGTTTCGATGCTCTTTCTATTATATGTTCATGTTTTATGTTGGTAACCTGCAATTTCTTGGGCATTACCAATTTGAAGGCATATTAAGTCGGTATTTAGTTTTCAGTAACACATTCAGGCTTCAAACTACTAAATTAATATAACTAACACCTAGCTAAACTTTAGTATCATGTGAATAATTATACATTTAATTTTTGCCATCAAATAAATATAAACATTTCTTTTGTTATATTTTTTTCATCGTTAAGAACAAAAAATTGCTTTTATTTCATATTTCGTTCAAGACACACGGTTTCATAAAATCATGTTTCAAATTAAATAATAATTTGAAAACTAATAGTTTGAATTACATTTCAGTCTTATTTCAATTTTCTTGGCAATTAATTGCACTTTTAACCAGACGACCCAGACATTGCGTCTTCAAAGGAATATTAAGATTTGAACAATATTAAGCTTTACATTTTTTTTTATTTTTACACCAATTTGTCTCCACTGCAGCTTTCCAAAAATGCCAGTGATTACTTCAGTGGCTGCGCGTTCCATAAATTATTCAGGTTTGATATTTTTATATGGACTTATCTAAACTTTATTTATCATTATCTTTAGAGAAATTTTCCAAATAAGGACTGGCTGAGTAGCAAACAGTGTCTGCTACATGGTAAAATCATCGGTGGCCGGCAGAATAATGGGTCAAGGTTGCTAAGATCTCATGCCACCACCGTCATATACCACAATCATATAATGATAAAATGAAACGATAAAAAATGAATATAAAGCAATCTAGTGCCCAACTTTCACAGTTATATTTTTATACTACCATATACCACAGCCATATAAAACTCTCTTTAAGTTAATGAAATGAAACGATAAAAACGAATGACAAGCAATGTGGTGCACAGCATTTTTACTGTAATCCTTTTAATAAATTGTTTACGGTCTTTATCATAATCCATTATGACTGTTCCCTCACAGTTAGATTAAATTCACTTTTCATGTTCACGCGATTTTCTTTTGATTAAAGATATATTATTTACGCCTCAAATCAATTGTAACAGGATATATGTCAGTGCGACAGAAAACAAAAGGTATAACAACTTTTTCTGGTATTCTAAAGTCCAACAATGATCGTCACCTCAATCCGAATCCGAATCCGAATAATAAACTAACAATATATCGTGAATGAGAGAAAACAAATATCACGTGACAAATGTAATATCGCTGGAACAACAAAGAGGGTGTTCAAATTGTTGGCGCGGTAATAATTATATTATTGTATTTCCCGTGAATGCATCAGCATAAGACATATATTTACATTCTTCTCAATCTAAAAACAACAGACAGTGTCCGTTCATAATATGAGTCGTAATTAGAAAGGACAATCGATTTCTGGCTCACAGATTGTATTGGAGTGTACTTCATGTTGATAGATAAATGCAATTTATGACGGACATTATCAGAATGGACGATGTTTGGTGTGGTTATATGTGTATGAATAGTAGATTAGAATATGTACGTTAAAATTGTATAAAGCTTATCTCACGAAATATTTTATGAACTTTAAAAACGGTAAAATCAAGTTGTTTCCATAATTAATGGTAGAGTCTCTTTAGAGTTGTAATATAGCATATTTCTTATATTTAACACACACGAATATAAAATTTTCTGGAATAACATATCGTGCTTTTTACAGTAGTGTTTTTACTCTTTGGCAATATTTAAATGTAAGTCCAAATAATAATACATGCATTTTGGAATTTTGTTTTTGCACTTTTGTATTTATAGCGTTGTTATTATTTCAATTTCATTGAATGTAATGATATTCTTAATATTTAGAATGCATAGTACGTTTAAATAGATAATATTGTTTCAATTTTTCATAATCACTATTCTTTCTTTATTATAACTTTACTTACAATTAAAACTTTCTAGATGTAAACTATATTGCTTTTATGTAGGAGTATTCGTGGTCGTGTGGCAAGTTCGTTGACTTCAAACGACTAGCCCCCTCACCGCTGTAGGTTCGAATCCCCCGCCGCCGGGACTTTAGATTTGTTTCAAGTAAGGAAGCTAACTTACGGAGCGTCGGTAGTTCTTCTCAAAGGCCCGTTCGTGTCGGAAATAATGCACGTTGGGGCACATGCAGTCTTCACCCGCTAAACTGGAAAGACGCCATATTACATAAACAATGTTATACAACAAAAACTAGACCAAACAAATAACTTCAGGGTTTTTTTATTATGTGGTTTAATAAGAATATATTTAATGCGTCACTGTTACTACATGTATTAGATCTGTACACATTGTGCAAATAATAAGAAATCAATATCCAACTTTTTTCAGTGACAGAACATAAAAGACGAGAGTCAGTTGCCTTATACATTAAAGCCACAACACCTGTCACATTTTATGTTTTCCCTATATTATAATGCAAATACAGATCTCTACTTTCTTTGATGAGAAATTCCCACTTCTGTGTTGTAATTTTGTATTCATTCGCTAGGTCCCAGATGATTTGTTCTTCCGCCAGAACGGTGCTAGTGTATTTGATTGACTTGAATAAGTCCAATTTGTAAGTCAGATTAGTTCTCTAGTTTGATCAGTATTCATTATTTAGCTATTTGTAGAAGTGCTAAAACCTTTGTGCTGTTTCTCACAAGAGGTTTTCCAGAGGTTTTCCAAACCGTATCTGTATTTGCCAGATATTTTAGTTAGTTAATTGGAATTAATGTAATTCCCTTTTATCAAATTGTGTATTTGTGAAAAAATTGTCTCAGCAAATAATTCAAATAATACTTCTAAAATCAGATATCGGAACTTCATACAAACTGTTATATAAGTATATTACAATGCGATAATGATTTTCAATACGAACTTTCTGTTAATGAAAGTTTTCCAATACCTTAGTCAATTCAGAAGTGTCGGTGGTGCATTTACAAGGATTATTTAAAACGTTGCATTGTTTAACTTCTTTCCTGTGATAGGAAACGGGATAATCATTTTCTCCTGTCGCTGGTAAAATAACAACACATCTGGGATCATCATTTCATGTTATATCACTGAAGTCTGACCCGGCTGGAAATTACACTAGTATCAGTTTACACTGAATCTAATAGAAAAGACATTTCTCGTGGAACAAGGTGACTATTTTCTGTTTATTTGTCTATGTGATGTGTGACATGTGCATTTGGAAAAGGACACAATATTATACTGGTAATGTTATGATTTTTTATGTGTTTATTTTTTGACTCTGAGTCATAGGAATGCAAGACTCGTGGGGTTTTTTTTTCGGAACATTTTTCTACTTCGTGTCTTTTTCAAAAACCATACTGGCGTTAAGGTCTCTTTTTATCCTTTCATTTTTTGTTATATGCATCATATCTAAATGGCAGAAGTGTTTCAACGCAATGTATATTACTCGTGCTAGGGAGAAGATAGTATAATAATATATTGATCAGTTGTAACCGTTAATTAATATTTTCATGAGTAAAATGTTGAATATATCTATCTAATATAATAGATAATTATTATTTTTCGAGATAACAGAAGAATATAACCTGTAGATATGGGAGAAATAGTTTGTGGTAAAGAAAAAAACATTTGAAATGGATATGTACATAAAGTTAGTTCCCTATTCCTTATTCGAATAAGGAATAAGGAATCAGTTCCTTATTCCTTTTTTGAATAAGAAAGAGGGAACTAGTTCCTGATTCCTTATTCAAATCTAAATAAGGAACAGCAGAATAAGTATTTATTTAAAATAAAATTTATACCTCATTCAAATCATTGCATAAAGAATCTGCATAAATTATTTTGCAAAAAATGTTAAAGTCGAATAAGTAATAGGGAACCAGTTCCTTATTCCTTATTCAACTCCGAATAAGGAAAAGAAGGAAATACGTAAAGAAAGACATAAGTTGCAGTTATTTTTGATAAATATGCATAAGAATTGCAAGAATCAATCATTAAAATGATGAAATAAAGCATCTACATAATTATATTTGAAGAAAATGTTAAAGTCGAATAAGGAATAGGGAACCAGTTCCTTATTCCTTATTCAACTCCGAATAAGGAACAGAAGGAAATACGTAAAGAAAGACACCAGTTGCAGTTATTTTTGATAAATCTGCATTAGAATTGCAAGGATCAATCATAAAAATCATGAAATAAAGCATTGGCATAAAAATATTTTGGAAAAAAAAATGTTCAGGTTCTTTCGACTCCTAATAAGGAACAGAAGTAATTACGTAAAGAAAGACAGCAGTTGCAATTATTATTGATAAATCTGCATTAGAATTGCAACGATCAATCATTAAAACAATGAAATAAAGCATCTACATAATTTTTTTGAAAAAAATGTAACAGTCGAATAAGGAATAGGGAATCAGTTCCTTATTCCTTATTCAACTCCGAATAAGGAACAGAAGGAAGTACGAAAAGAAAGACACCAGTTGCAGTTATTTTTTATAAATCTGCATAAGAATTGCAAGAATCAATCATAAAAAGCATGAAATAAAAAATATTTTGGAAAAAATAATGTTCAGGTTCATTCGACTCCGAATAAGGAACAGAAGTTATTACGTAAAGAAAGACAGCAGTTGCAGTTATTTTTGATAAATATGCATAAGAATTGCAAGAATCAATCATTAAATCATGAAATAAAGCATTTACATATTTTTTTTTGAAAAAAATGTTAAAGTCGAATAAGGAATAGGGAACCAGTTCCTTATTCCTTATTCAACTCCTAATAAGGAACAGAAGTAATTACGTAAAAAAAGACAGCAGTTGCAGTTATTTTTGATAAATCTGCATAACAATTGCAAGGATAAATCATTAAAACCATGAAATCAAGCATTTACATAAATGTTTTTTGAAAAAAAATGTTAAAGTCAAATAAGGAGTAGGGAACCAGTTCCTTGTTCCTTTTTCAACTCCGAATAAGGAACAGAATGAAATACGTAAAGAAAGACACCAGTTGCAGTTATTTTTGATTAATATACATACGAATTGCAAGAATCAATCATTAAAATCCTGAAATAAAGCATCTACATATTTTTTTTTGAAAAGTCGAATGTCTTTCTTTACGTAATTACTTCTGTTCCTTATTCGGAGTCGAATGAACCTGAACATTTTTTTTCCAAACTTTTTTATGCAGATGCTTTATTTCATCATTTTCGGAGTTGAATAAGGAATAGGGAACTGGTTCCCTATTCCTTATTCGACTTTTACATTTTTTTCAAAAAAAAAATTATGTAGATGCTTTATTTTATGATTTTAATGATTGATTCTTGCAATTCTAATGCAGATTTATCAAAAATAACTGCAACTGGTGTCTTTCTTTACGTATTTTCTTCTGTTCCTTATTCGGAGTTGAATAAGGAATAGGGAACTGGTTCCCTATTCCTTAGTCGACTTAAACATTTTTTTCAAAAATATTTTTATGCAGATGCTTTATTTCATGATTTTTATTATTGATCCTTGCAATTCTAAAGCAGATTTATCCAAAATAATTGCAACTGGTGTCTTTCTTTACGTATTTCCTTCTGTTCCTTAATTCGGAGTTGAATAAGGAATAAGGAACTGGTTCCCTATTCCTTATTCGACTTTAACATTTTTTTTTTTAAATAATTTATGCAAATTCTTTATGCAATGATTTGAATGAGGTATAAATTTTATTTTAAATAAATACTAATTCTGCTGTTCCTTATTTAGATTTGAATAAGGAATCAGGAACTAGTTCCCTCTTTCTTATTCGAAAAATGAATATGGAACTGATTCCTTATTCCTAATTCGAAAAAGGAATAAGGAATAGGGAACTAACTTTATGTACATGAAATGGATAGACAATTATTAAATAATACAAAATACAAAAATGAATTTTAATAATTTAAACTTAGACCGACAGACAATTACAGGAATCTGTAATATGTTGTTTATATGGATATTATTTTTTATTCATATTTTCATGTTTGCTTTCTTTTTTTAACATTTTTGAAACCTGTTGCATTCAATTTTCATTAGATAATATTTGTAACAGTTAAAATATTGTATGGGATTTGATAAATGAGTTGTACATGCATACTAGTATTTGACTAACTTTGTCATATTTCGTACTTGTTAAGTATATAACAAATTAGCGTTTGGGAGACAATTTTTTTGTTTATCTTGATCGTATAAACGTTGATTCGATCTTAATAAGGGGACTTTATACGCTCGCGGTGGATATTGATAAAAATATTTGATTTTATTGAGCTGTTTATTGCCTACTTATAACACGGTCAGTGGGCACGGTCTGGTCAACGTCCGTAAATTTCGATAATTTCCGTACGATGAACGCAATAATTAAATGTGTTTCTATAAAAATACACTTGTTAGCGTTGTAACGCAAAAATGTAAACTACGATTTTAATGTCCTACATGGTGTCAGCGATATCAATGTTTTCTTTTTGTTAGTTTTTTTCTCATTATTTTTTTTCAACATAATAGAAGTTTATCGGCCATTATATTTCATGTATTTAATATTTTTATGTTGTTGATTTGTCTAAGTACTTAGACAAAGTACTTTTGCACTTATGTTGGGGAAAGTCTATTCTTTTTAATAACACCATCAGTTCAATACAGCATAAAACAAAATACAACGAGGTACAATATTATTTTAAGTAGATCTCATGAGTTTCTGAATTCTGCAAAACACAAGAAAGAGAAGAAAACTTAAGTTACCAAGAGTAGGACTCTAACCAAAAACCACGTGTCATTTTTAGGCAATTACTTAATATACTGTGCTATTACGAATGTAATGACATTTCTTTTATTTCTTAAGCTGACATTTTTATACGCCTTTTCGAAACATTAGTTATAAATTCCACATTATTTATCTTAAATAACACGTCAGAATCTTATTTCGACTAAATATTTAAAAAGGCGCCATACTATAAATTAAATATATTCATAATTGGCAGGTCAATACAGTCAAACAGTAATGTCATGGCCTCAGTGCAAATTCGCAATGTTTGAATTAGTGCTATTTGTCACTTAATCGATAATTTTGATAATATGTGATAAGTTTCATGAGAAAGGAATAATATACGACTAGAGATAAGAAGAAAATGTTGTTCGTTTAATGTGAATTTTGAAAATAATTATAAGAATGAAATTTTTCAAGATAGTCATTCGCACCACGCGCTTTTGAAATAATCATTCGAATTGTAACGTTTGTGTGGCATATAATCAATTTTCACTAAAATTCGAAAGCATCTATCCTCTATGAGTCATGTTCTGAAATCTTAGGTAACAAAATTCTTTTCTTGCTTTTGGAGAAATATTTTTATTAATGTGTTTGTATGTTTGTTAGGTTTTTAATCACACCAAACTGTAATGTAATATTATTGACAAAATGGGGACTTTCTGCGTAAAAACTGAACAGATATTTTATTTTAGAGTTAAGCATTACAATTTGTCATTATCAACCATTAAGTATATACAATGAATACAAAATGTGCTGCGCCTTCATACAATGAAATAAGCACGAGCGGGCACCTTTGTAGAGCAACCTATTTTTCTCTAAGTTACCTTGATAAGTTTTTCACATTATAGGATCTGGAAGTCCCTGAAGAGATTCGAACCTATAGCGTTTATTGACTGGGTAATTTAAAATCATCGCAATTAACAACTCGGCCAAGAATTATACCTCTTATATCATACATAGGATTAATCTAACATAACATTATAATATTAATGAACAAAAGATTATTAAAGCCTTAAATTTACTTTTTTGTAAGTTCAATAGCTTTCAATTCTTCGCAAAATTATTTTAATTAATTTTTATGAATATTTTTTGTCATATTTATATCCGTTAGGTTTCTTTAAAGGACTAGCTTCACAAGTTTATATTTTTTTCTGTTTTATAACGTGACGGTCGACTATCTGTACAGTGTTATCATTGATTTCTTATTATGAGGAACAAATAAATGTCTGATAAATGGCTTGTTATCAATGTGTTCGACAATAAATTTATCATTTTTTGTAAGCAAAAGCTATTACTAAAAGAGAAAAGCGGTTACCCACGAAATTAACGTACTGCGATCTTGAAAGATATATTGTAAACATGCATACAATATAAGAAAAGCGCATATTAAAATAATTAGAAATCGTTGTAACCTTGCAATGCAGTGTCTTTAATAAATCATACAAATCAATAGGATATATATTTTACT